AGTTCTTATTTTCTTCCTGAGCTTTTAACAGAGTAACCTTTAAAATCCTGTTCATGGAACTCTAAGCCTTTTCTAGCATGAGCCTTGAAAGTCTTCCCATTATCCAGTTCCTAAGCCATTCATACATTTTTAGGTATTTATTACATTACCACTCCCCACCACCTTCTCAGTACCAGTATCTATATTGGTGTTTTCTGCAGAAACAGAACCAATAAGATATATCTAGAGATAGAGAAAGAGATTTATTTTGAGAGATTGGCTCACATAGTTAGGGAGGCTGAGAAGTCCTGTTGTCTGCCATCTGCAAACTAGAGACCCAAAAAAGATGATGGCGTTGTTCCAGTCCAAACCTGAAGAAGGCCTGAGAATCAGAGAAGCCAATGGTATGAGTTCCAGTTTGAGTTACGAGGCCCAAGAACTGGGGGAGAGGGTGGGTATTGGGGTGTATGTTCTCATCTGAGTCTGAAGGTCTAAGAACTAGGAGCACTGACGTCTGATGACGAGACAAGTCAGATTTCCCAGCCCCAGCACAGAGCCGATTTGCCTTTGTCCATCTTTTCTCCTACTCAGGCCATCAACAGATTAGATGAGGCCCACCTGCCCTGGGCAGGGTGATCTTCTTTACTCAGTCCAGCAATTCAGAAGCTCATGTTTTCTGGACACACCCTCACAGACCCAGAAAGTGTTTTATAGCTCCCATGACATTGACATGGCCCAGATCGACACATAAAGTTAATCATCACATACCAGTAGCATCCTTTTTTTTTTCTTTTACATGATTTCCTGCTTTTTATATAAGAAGGGGAAGAGTGCTGTGTGCCCATAATTGTGAACATACATAGTTGACGTTAGAGTCACCAAAGATCAGAAGCGACTCTTTAGGAGGATGAGAAATGGAGTAGCAGAGACTAAATTCCATTTTGTTCTGTTTGTATTATGCACCTCACTCAGCTTTCTATGGACGCTGTAACAACAGGGGCATCCGCCACATGGATGAGCTGGGAAGGGATAACATAAATTTATAATTCTGCCACTGAATATGAAGCTTTAAAAAGAGTCCCATTGGTCAGTAAAAACAAGCTCCAGAAATGAAATTTTGGATAATTACTGATATTTTTCTTGTGAGGTTATTATGAGTGATAAGGTGTTTCACATGGATTTTTGATAGTGATTTTTTTTTTTAGATTTTATTTATTTATTTGACAGTGATCATAAGTAGGCAGAGAGGCAGGCAGAGAGAGAGAGAGGAGGAAGCAGGCTCCCCACTGAGCAGAGAGCCCGATGCGGGGCTCGATCCCAGGACCCTGGGATCATGACCTGAGCCAAAGGCAGAGGCTTTAACCCACTGAGCCACCCAGGCACCCCGATAGTGATTTTTTTTAAGATTTTATTTATTTATTTGACACAGAGAGAGAGAGATCACAAGTAGGCAGAGAGACAGGCAGAGAGAGAGAGGGAAGCAGGCTCCCTGCTGAGCAGAGAGCTCTATGCAGGCCTCGATCCCAGGACCCTGAGATCATGACCTGAGCTGAAGGCAGAGGCTTAACCCACTGAGCCACCCAGGCACCCAATAGTGATTTTTTTTTTTTTTTTAAGTGCAAAGGCCATGTCTGAACAGATTCTGGCACAGCCATACAGTGTAATACTCCTGCAGTGAAAAAGAACAAGCTACTGATACACACAGCAGCATAGATGAATCGTTAGAGAATTTATGCTGAGAGAAAGTTGTCTTACACAAAAGCATATGTACTATACGATTTTGCTTAAATAGATTCTAGAACAGGCAAAACTTGACCTTTGATAAAAATTAATCACAAGAGTAGGGGAGGGCTGCAGATAGGCTGGGAAGGGATATGAGGGAATTCTCTAGAACGCTGGCAAAATTCTTTATATTGGTAGGAGATTGGGGTACAAGGGTGCACAGATTTTTCAGAACTCCTCAAATGTGCTTATGATTTTATTTTATGTAAATTTTACCCCAAAATGTACACAAAATGATGATAGGCATGTTGAGGTGTTTCGGACAGAAGCGTACTGATCTCTGTATTGACTTTGAATTGTAACCACCACCACAATAAAATGGACTGATGGTTGCACAATAAAGCAAATGTAAAAAGTTAATTGTAGAATCTAGTTGGAAGTTATTCAAGTACTCGTCCAATTCTTCACATTTTTCTCTAGGTTTGAAAATGTTATAATACGAAGTTAAGAATGTAATTTCAGAAAAAAACTATTAATATAAAAAAAATCACAAGGGCACAACAGTTAGGTTTTTTTGGTTGGTTGGTTCATGTTTTTTTCATTTGTTTATTTTGTTTTGCTTTTTGGTGATGCAATGTTCTCTTTTTTTTTTTAATCATTTTTTAAAATTTATTTTCAGCATAACAGTATTCATTGTTTTTGTACCACACCCAGTGCTCCATGCAATCCGTGCTCATATGGTTTCACTTATTTGTGGAGCATAACAAATAGCATGGAAGACCTGGGAGTTAGGAGAAGGGAGTTGGGGGAAATTGGAAGGGGAGGTGAACAATGAGAGACTATGGACTCTGAAAAACAATCTGAAGGGTTTGAAGAGGTGGGGGGGTGGAAGGTTGGGGATGCAATGTTCTTTTAAGCACTGAATGTCCTTAGAGAAATTGAGCTACTTGTTGAAGGTAAATGAGAGTTTATTCCATTACCTTTGCTCAAAATATTGCATAAAAGAGACATTTAGAATAATAAACACATAAGGATTTCTGAATTTGAAATATGCCACATTGAATTGTTAGGAGATTAAATTTAAAATTAAAAAACTACATGTTTTTGAGTATCATCTTTTTGACTACATGTCATTTCATTTTCAATTTTTCCTTTTGTTAATCTCCATGAACTATCTTGAAGACATGGTAGGTTCTGAATTCCGAAGAGGGAAAATAAACAGGTGATAGAATACAACTAAGAAGAATGTATTATTTTAATGATATAAATTAACTGATAAATATTATTGAAAATATTGATTTTTAGGGTACAAATAACATCATAGCCCTGACTTTCCATACCCAGAGAATTATTGAAGACTGGAATATAATTCAAAATGACTGTGACAGATTAGAGCATTATATTTTTTCAAAAGGAGAAAATTCAATAGGAACTTGTACAAAAGTTCAGGACCAAAACCAATAAATGGGGATGGACCAGTTTCAAATCTAGGATATCAGCAATGAGCATGTCAGCCCTATTCACTGAATATTCACTGTCCTTTGTGCTATAATTGGATCCAGCTTTGGTACATATTTTTTTCTTTTTTTTAAGTTTTTATGTAAATTCTAGTTAGTTAACATATAGTGTAATATTAGTTTCAGTACTAGAATTTTTTAGTGATTCACCAGTTACATGCAACCAGTGCTCATCACGAGTTCCCTCTTTGATCCGCATCATCCATTTAAGCCATTCCCCCACCCACCTCCCTTCCAGCAAACTTCTGTTCTCTGTAGTTAAGAGTCGTTTGATAGGTATTTTTTTTTAAGATTTTATTTATTTATTCGACAGAGAGATCACAAGTAGGCAGAGAGGGAGGCAGAGAGAGAGGAAGAAGCAGGCTCCCCGCCAAGCAGAGCAGAGAGCCCGATGTGGGTCTCGATCCCAGGACCCTGAGGTCATGACCTGAGCCAAAGGCAGAGGCTTTAACCCACTGAGCCACCCAGGTGCCCCTTGATAGGTATTTTTAAATAATATGGAAAAATACATAAAAGCTTAAAGAGGAACAAGATGACTAAAATATTGAAAAGCTGGTCCTAGGAGGAAAATCTGAAAGAAGAGGAACTTCTCTCAGTGCTTCCAGATTGAAAAGGTTCAAGTTCCCTTTGATTATTACCATTTCCAATTATGCAGTGTTTTAATGGAGAGATTCTATGAAAAAATAAACAAGGGAAATGGATTCAAGTTAAGAGATGGTAGAGTTGTGCAAATGGAAGGATCTCTTGACTTCAAGGTTGATTAAAGTCTGGAATAATTGTCAAGTGATACTGGGATTATGCATCCCTGGAGAATTATGTAAACAAAATAAAAATTCTGAGTGGATCTAGACTGACAGGCTAGAGGTTGGGGGCAAGCCCTGATAATCACCGGAAGGACTTAATTGGGTCTATGTTCTATTAATAATGTTTCACTCAACATTATTGAGTGAAATACATACAAAACATGTAAGTTTTGAAACAGAGCTTGGTACTAAATTATGTTCTTTCTATAAGGAATGGCAACTTAAACTTCGCTTCACTCAGAAATTCCCTGTGTTAGGTCACAGCATGGTGACTGTGGATAGCAATACTATAGTGTATACCCAAAATCTGCTAAAGGGGTAAATATCAACTGTTCTTACCACAAAAAAACAAAACAAAACAAAAAAATGAAAAGAAAACAATGATAATTATGTGAGGTAATGGATATGTCAATTGGGTTGATTATGGTGGCGATTATTCCACAACGTATAAATATTGCAAAACATGAAGTTGAACACCTTAAATATAAATCATTTGTGCTCCTGAATTATATCAGTAAAGCTAGAAACAAATCACTGTATTGAATGATTTTTCTTTTATTGGACTCGTCTCCCAGTAAATGACTACATGTTGCTTTGGTGACAGTTTGTAACATTGTTCTTAATTCAGTTACTCTACTTTATTGTAAAATAATTGCAGTATATCCTGTAATTTTTCTCCTTAATGTTACAACATTATCATTAGGAGGACATTTTTATATGGGAACAATTATGTTCATGAATGTTTTCTGTCGGTGAGAGGATCCCTACCTGAGTGTAAGTATGTTTCGCAATCTTCACTCTTTGGTCCTACTAGGGACCACTTAGACTGGAAAGAGATACAAATGTCAACTTTGTGAATGATTTCTCTTCTTTCTGAAAGCCAATATGGCAAAAAATCCTCTTGCATTTTCCACCGTAGCCTCTATTTGTGGTTTCTTAATCTCGTTGCATGGTTCGCTTTTATTCTTCCCCTTTGCAGAGCAAAACTTGCTTCCTGTTGTGATGCTGCTCAAAACTTCATTGTTTCTCAGAACAACACTCCAGCTGGGACCAACATGAGCTACGAGGTGGAAAGCAAAAACGAAATCCTAATTAGAGAGAATATTTTTAATATGTTTCCAGTGGTGAGTAAAGTTTTGTTGTGGTTGATTTGTGTCGCCATTCCAGATGACTTTTCTTCCACGTTACATTGTAACTTATACTAATAGAGAAGTTAACTCAGAATTAAAATACCATACGTTGTTTTGATGTAAAAGATGGTGATAGTGGTCCATTTTAAAAAGGAATTTTGAATGCAAGTGGCTCTGCAGGGAATGGTATTTATATCTTACATGATAAGCTCTCCAAGTCCTTGAGTCTTTATAACTCATCCTTGCATGAGATGAGCTTACTTGGGTTTTCTGGATAGGAACTACTGGGGCTTGGGAAGAGGACCATTTTTCACCTGGAATAAGATTCTTGCAGTTGTCAGTTTTGGTGACTGAATCGGTTCCTTCACAAGGAACTATGGGTTTATCTGGCTAATCTTTGGGAAGTAAATATGTTAGGAATTTGTTGTCAGTGGGTGGGGGGGAGGGGGCTGCCTGGGTGGTGCAGTTGGTTAAGCATCCAACTCTTTGTTTCATCTCAGGTCATCATCTCAAGGTTGTGAAAACGAGCCCCACATTAGTCTCCACGCTCAGTGCGGAGTCTCCCTCAGATTTTCTCTCCTTCTCCTTCTGCCCCTCCCACCTGTGCTCTGACTCTCTAAAATAAATAAATAAATCTTAAAAAGAAAAAAAAAAAAGAATTTGTGGTCACTGAACATAACCTCACACTCAGGAATCTCTGTGTGGTATGTTCATTGATGTATCCCAAGCTCCAGAATATTCCCCAGTGCATACATGCATTCATTACACAGTCATTAAATAAGCTAATGAGTAATGGTACAGTGTCATTACAGGAAGAAACTTCTTTAATATAAATCCAAACTTGGGGAGAATTTTTGTCATGAAGAACATCCCATCGCTTATAATCATACACCTTCGGTTATCTTTTCATGAGTTTATTAAAAGCAATTAAGCTAAGTCAGTATGGTCAAAAATCGGATGACCTAATATATGCAGTTTACCAACTGTAGAATATTCAGTTCTTGCAATTAATTCCTTTTTGTTGGACCTTTGACTTCTTTCAACTAATTTATTGGTCATATAAGTTGTGCCAGTTTTTCTTTTATAATTCAAAGGAAGACTAATTGGCTGGGAATGATTGAAAAATGAATAGAAAATGATAGAGGAAAAAAATAGAAGAAATTTTCCGGAAGGAAAGGAGGACCAAAAATAACTCATAATGCATTCTAAAAATGCCCTCATGAGGCACTGAAATTACCAATAATTGAAAAGATAATAAGTACAGAATATTTATATTCCTGATCCAAGAAGGCCTGAGAGAGTTTCACAATGAGCAACTCTTTCACCCTTGCAATTTTTTCTAGTGTTTTCCGTGCTTTAGACAGACCAGAACAGAGGAGAGACAGGGATTTTTTTAGCTTCCGGTTGGCACCTAGAAAAGCATAACCTAGGGCTTGATAATTCTGTATACAGTTAACAACAGCATCGGTTTCCCAAATTTGCACTGATTTTTCAAAACTGCGGGTGTGGAGGTTGGGAGATAATTCTGAAGTGAGTACAGTAATAGTAGCAAAGTGAGAGGCCACTTTTCTGTGTTGCTTCCACACTCCCTTTCCTCTCTAAGAGAGCTGGCCTCCTTCTGGTCCTGCTGCCTACATCCCCACCCTCCTTGTTCTGTTCTGCTAGAGAACTCTGGGGCACACAATAAGGAGATGACAATAGACACTTCTGATGAATGTCATAAAGTCATTTCCTCCAAACACTTTGCTAAGTTACCTGAAAAGAAAGCAAAGTTGGTTTTCGACCAGAGTGAGCAATGAGCAGGACTTGCTCAACATAGCACACATTTTCCACTTTCTTAGGAGCTTTGTTTTAAGAAACATTGGAATTTGTAATTCAGAGGTTACTCTTACTGAACATGAGATCCCCAAGCATATGGGCTTTTCCCCCTAGTTGACCAAGAAACTAGAGAAAACATGTGTTATTTTGAGTGCTTAATTGGAGACATGTTTTCTTCTGTCAACTTTTCTGTTGTACCATTAAGAGTTTATTTGCATTCTATCCAGTCTGTAAAATTCAAAATTGTTTGTGGCACCATTTAGTAAACACAGGTCAAAGACATCTTGAGCTAGGATTACAGTGGATTTGAAATCACCTGAGGTATCTAGGAACCATTGACTTCAGAGCCATGTCCTCTGCTAGGCAATTGCAGATACGAAGAGAAATAAGGTACATAATTAACATTGTATTCATGGAATGTGAGAAACTGTGTCACATGGGGTGAATAAGAACATGGGCTCTTTCAGGGGTTTGAATCTCAGCTCTGACACTTGCTAGCCATTCCTTAAACCCATGCTTTTATTTCCCCAGCAGCAAAATGCTCGTAAGGTTCACATGTGTTAATAAGTCAGGCACTTGGAACAGCATCTCTTGTATAATGATTACAATATGATTCTGAATTGTTAGAGACAAACCAACTGTGCTGAATCAGAGTTCTCTCTGCTCATTTGGTGTCGCCCAGATGGAGCCTGAGAGCACGTAACGGTCATAGGGTTTCAGGAGTCCTTTGGGCTTCACACAACCGCACTGGCCCTGAGGTGTTGCCATTGGTGCTGGGAAACTGGCTTTGGGCAGTGAGCTGCCCTGATTTGTAGTGTTGGTCCATTTTAGTGGTGGACATACCCCCGGGGTGGTTGACTTAAATTTACCAGTGGCTTCACAACTGTTCACAAAATTCCTGAATATTCACCAGCTGGCTACCCCATCCTGGTCCAAGAGGCTCCCAACTCAACACTGGCGGTTTTTTCCAGGGTGGGCCATTGGGCCAGCAAGCATTAATTGAAATGTCACTGTGTACATTCCAACATGTGAGGTATATGGTGAAAGATGAGGGGACGTTAAATGTCACAAACACGTCCTCTGCCCTTGAGGACCTCCACTCACCCTCTAAAGATAAAAGAGGTGAATCAGGACAATGTCACTGTGGTGTCTAACCTGGGCCTTCTTGGTGCTGCTTAGGGTCCCATCATTTCGTCGGGGAGAGGGACAAGCAAAGACAAAGAGCACTGTTTAATGGAGAAGTTATGTTTCTGACTGGGAAGGACTTGGGAAAAGGGGGAAATCTTTTGGGGGTAGACAAGTCGGGTCCTCGGAGGAACTATAAGAGATTCAGACCTTGTAAATCAATTTGAAATATGTCAGCAGAGAGTTAGTAGGCATCCCTGTAGCACCATGGCTGGTCATTTGTGGAGATGGCAGGCATAAATCTCATGTCATCCCTGAGCCTGAAGGTCTAACTCTAGCAGAAACTTCTGCTAAATTAGCTATTAATTTTATGCCCAAGAATAGAGGACTTCATGATACTTTCTAATTGCTTCATTTCCTCTATTTTGCTGAAAACATTCTTGTTTGTTGGAAAGGCCCAGTGTGGGGTTTTGCCAGTCTAATGTTACGTACTTAATTGTGTGATTTAAGACACATTAAGTTACATTTTATAGACAAATGTGTTATATGTTAGATTATTACACCATAGGGTCTATGATATGCTGTATATTCCTCTCAAGAGAAATGAAAGGTAGGTTTACAAGATATTTTATTATAAGTCGTAAGTTGATCAACATGCTATGGCATTTCTATCTCTGCCTTTTTTTCCTTGCTCTTTTCCTTTCCTTAGCGTCTATTAAAAAAATGTAGCTGCTTGAATTAAGCTGATGATATTTATTGTTCTGAAACTAAAGCTATTTTGTGATGGTTTCTCTCTTCCTTCTGCTAGTCTCAGCCCTTCATGGAGTACCCGTACAGTCAGTGCGCAGTGGTTGGAAACGGGGGAATTCTGAATAAGTCTCTTTGTGGAGCTGAAATAGACAAATCCGACTTCGTTTTTAGGTAAGACCTGTCAGACGGGTTTCCTTGAAACCAAAGGTCAGTTGGATATTTTAAAGGGATGCTGTAAAGCTCCTCCGTGTAAATTTTGACCTTTGAGCTGTGTTGCTTAAGTCTACAAATTACTTGGGTAGACTTTCCTGAGGTGTTAAATGGATCATGAGTTCCTCAGAATGTTAATACCAGAAGGAAAAAAACTGTGCTTTGGCCACTTTGCTGAAACTCTGAAATCGTGGTGAAAGAGGGTCTTCACTGCGGGACTTGTCAGAGCCTACATTGTATTAAGGATACCATGGCTCCCTCAGAAGGGCTCCGGAGAACAACATTTGCCAGGCTCACCTGAAAAAAGGGAAAAAATATATATTTATTTATATATATACACATATTATATATATGTGTGTGTATATATATATATATATATATATATATATATATATATATGAACAGAGCATTTCAAGAAACTTTTGTTCTCAGATAATACTTGAGAAAATGCCGACCTAAGCATCGTATTGCCACACAATATCATTGTTTCGTTTTCTGGCTTGAAATTAAGAAACGAAATTGTGGAGCTTCTAGATTCTGGTCTTTTAAAGTGTCTGTATCTCAGTAGCAGCTAGCTTGCAAATGCAGAAGCAGAAGTGATTTGTTTCTCCCTGTGCCTGTGCTAATAAGCCAAGCCGTGGAGTTTCTGCACTTTCAGAATATGATGGAAAGGTGATTCATCCCTGTGAGGTTGGATTTCAATTGAAATGAACCTCTTTAAAAAGTAAGTCGAAATCTGTTTCTTCCTATTTCAGGGGCACTGATTTCATACATCAGAGGAGAGCCTTTGATTCTTATTGATTTAATGCTATCGTTTCTTCGCAGCTGAAAAGGAGGCCGGACTTTCAGTCACTAGCTCACTGCCCTCCTCCCCCCAATCCCACTGCTTTACTTGAATCTCATTTAAAGTTTTTATTGCTACAGGTAATGACTGAACAGTAGACCTGACAATCCAGCAAGTCATTGAATGTGGTCCTCATGATTCATGATAAAATGGCCAATACCTGAATGATTTAGCCATTTAGTTAAAGCACTCACTATGAAAAAGCCATAATGAAGCTAAATAATTCTTCTTGTAATAGACTTTTCATAGACTTAAAATTCTCAAAACATCTGTGGGGAGGATTATGGCTACCCATCCATTTTACCTGATAGAGCAGATACACGAAATACAAGTTGAGGTTTAAAAAAGAAAAACATCTCAGCAACTACTTAATTTCAAACTCCCCAGTAAGTGTGCCTATTTCCAGATCCTGCATTTGCTGCCAGGGATGTTTCTGAGACAGAGTTTCCTGTGAAGTGAGCTTTCCAGAATGAAAGGGCAAATGAGGGCTTAGATGTGGTCATGGTCATTAAAATTTATTTAAATGTTAAGTCTGTACTTAGTTTGTGTCTACGTGGTCAGAATTTTGTAGTAACAGTCTGGAAACTGCTTATTATTGTTTGTTTTTCATTCCAAAAGTTTGGTAGCTACTAGCTGAGTGGGTAAGGAATAAAAAAGAGTTGAAGAATGGATGGTTTTACCAACTACCACTCTATGTGTACAATACGCCATTACTCCCCTAGGAGTCTCCTATGATACTCTGCTGGAAATCACCTTTGATTTTAAAAAGAATAATACTGTATTAGAAGATAGATTTGTTATTACAGGTTGTCCAGTAATGAGGGCGTTTCTGTATTATCTGTGATTGATATTTTTCGCAAGGTGCCATGTTTAATTATTTTCTGACATACCTTTTATATCAATGAGAGGTGTACACGGTCCATTTGATTTTATGTTTCATTGAGTGTGGAATGCTGTTTCAACCTCAGTTCGTTGAAACTCAGAAATGCTCTTTTTGTTTGTATAGCTTAAAAGAAATGGTCTACTTGAAATTCTGTAAACAATACTTAGGGAGTCATAACCAACTTTCCCTTTTTTGTGGAAGGAATATAATTACTCAAAATTACAATTCTTAATTTGTTCTGAGTACTAAAAACAAATTAGTACTCAAAAGAGGAAGAGAACATTTATATGAAAATATCATTATAGGAACATTAGGGTTTTATTTATTAACAGCAGAATTTGCTAGAAAAACTATCCATATGGGAATCAGGAGATTTCAGGGTTTGGTTTTTTTTTTTTTTTTTAATAGACTTTGCTTCTGGCATACTCCATAACCTTAGTTGCAATGCCTTGTTTTTTTTTTTTTTATAACCTGTAAGTTGATGACCATAACACTGTGGAAATATAATCAATAGAAATAATAATTTTAATAAAAGGATTATGAACTCTTCAGCAGCTAGCAAGGTAATTGTCATTTCTCATTTTGATATACTTAAGGGTCTTAATATTAAAAGCATTTACCAAATTTGTATATTCCATGCAATGTTGAAGTGTCAATTAAGAGTTCAGTACTTAGGGGTACCTGGGTGGCTCAGTCATTAAGTGTCTGCCTTCACCTCAGGTCATGATCCCAGAGTCCTGGGAGCAAGCCCTGTATTGGGCTCCCTGCTCATGGTGGAGTCTGCTTCTCCCTCTCCCACTTCCCCTATTTATGCTCTCTCTCTTTCTCTCTGTCAAATAAATAAATAAAATCTTTTTCATATAAAAAAAATGATTTCAGTACTTATTAAAGTTTTAAATGGAAATCAGATCAATTCAGAACTCCTTAACAGCCATCATTTTCTCCAATAAACCGACAATGATTGAATGTGTACATGTGTGGGTATGCGCTTTTTTTTAAACTTGCATTTTGAAAATGCTTTTTCTTCCCCCCCCAAATTTCAGGTGTAACCTTCCTCCAATTACAGGAAATGTGAGTAAAGATGTTGGCAGTAAAACCAATGTCGTGACTGTAAATCCCAGTATCATAAAACTAAAGTAAGTATGTCCAACTTATATAACTGTTTGAAAACATTTGTTTTATTGTTTAACATGTTTCTTAGTTTGAACACTAATCTTGTTGCTGGAATGACTTGCAATGCAATATAGCTGGAATGACTTTGGGGAAAAGATAGAAGAATATAATATATTCATAATTTTTTATTTCCTCTCAAGGTTGTAGCTCATAAGAGGTATGATCAATTGTACCTCTCTCTCCTTTTCTTTTTTTAAAGAAAACCATTCCATTTTATTTTAAAGACTTTATTTTTTATTTTTTTATGTTATTTATATTTATTTTTTATTTCTTAATATCATTTCTACACCTGGTGTGGGGCTCAAACTTATAGCCCCGAGATGAAGAGTTGTACGCTCTACCACTGAGCCAACCAGGCATCCCAACCAATTACACTTCTAATGTCGTAAGTGGAACACTACTAATCAAGTGAAAACTTATTTATCACTTCTTCTTTTTTAACAATAGTGAAGTTACTTTTGAGAACTTTCTTTCAGAATTTTAACATTACTCTTTTATCTTGGGAGTAGTTTCCTAATGAAACAGTTTATTTAGAAACTTCAGGGAATGCACCTTAAGAGAAGCTGGCCAAAAAAAAAAAAAAAAAAAAAAAAAAAAAAAAAGTTTTTACTACATATAGCTTATTACCAAAAAATAATTCCCATATTTCATTTTTCACAGTGTAGCCACGACAAAATGTTCCTGGTTAATAAAAATCCCATACATGGTTTTACTCCACTGTTTTCACCAAAACTAATAATCATTATTAATAAAATACAAATTAAACTATATACCCATATAGTTCTAGTATCTTTTAAGATAATATGCAATATTATACCTGCATCCTAAAAGTTTACTTTCTAGACACAACCATTCATATTAGTATGTTTACTAAGGTATTATTTAAATCAAACACAAATCTATCACAATACATTGAGGACATTTAAAATGTGTGTGTGTGTGTGTATGTGTATGAATGTAGGTATTTTAGGTTCTTTCAAGGAAACTTTAATGGTCACATGTAAAAAAATATACACAGGTCACTGGTGTACAGCTTAGGGAATTTTTTAATGTGTAGACATTTTAAGAGTGTCCTGTGTTTAAGAAAAATCAATCATTATTTGGAAGGTATTTCTGTATCAAAAAGTTACCTTAGAGGGGCACCTTGTGTGGCTTAGTCGTTAGGCGTCTGCCTTCAGCTCAGGTCATGGTCCCAGGGTCCTGGGATCAAACCCCACATCAGGCTCCCTGCCGGGCGGGAAGCTTACTTCTCCCTCTCCCATTCCCCCTGCATGTGTTCCCTCTCTCGCTGTGTCTGTCAAATAAATAAATAAATAAAATCTTTTTTTAAAAAAGTTGCTTTAGAGAAAAAAATTACTGAGTTAGAAGATAAAATAATATAAGAAATGTGTGTCCAGTAAGGATATAGTCTGATAAGAAAATATAAATGAAAGCCTAGGGACACCACAAAAGAGAGCTGAAGGACCTAGCTCTTGATGTTTATAGGAGGCTTACTCGTACTTGGACTCTGAGTCTACTGTTTGTCTCTTATATACAACAGTGATATAAATGGTTCAATGGCTCGGCCAAAGGTAAATTCAGCCTTATGTAACCAAAATGGCCACTTTGATTATAATGACGATGATTTTTTTTTAAAATTTGGCAGATATGGGAACTTAAAGAAAAAGAAAGAAATATTTCTGGAGGACATTGCGACCTATGGAGATGCGTTCCTTCTTCTTCCAGCGTTTTCTTTCAGGGCCAACACGATTGCCTCTTTCAAAGTGTATGACACCCTAAAGGAGTCTCAAGCAAGACAGAAGGTTATATTTTTCCATCCCAAATACCTGAGAAATCTTGCCCTTTTCTGGAGAACTGAAGGTGTGACGGAGTTTCGCCTGTCCTCTGGCTTGATGATCACAAGTGTGGCAGTTGAACTGTGTGAGCACGTGAAGCTGTATGGATTTTGGCCCTTTTCTAGAACAATTAAAGACACACCTGTCAGCCATCACTACTATGACAACAACTTACCCAAACGTGGTTTCCATGAGATGCCTAAAGAATATAGACAAATTCTTCAACTTCACTTGAAAGGAATCCTCAAATTACAATTTAGCAAATGTGAAAGAGCCTAAGCATAGTGTCTTAAAATGGGAATAGTTTTAATAGAATGCCGTAGGTGAGTAATGGTGTTTCCCAACATTAAAAGCAGTGGGTGTAGGGCATAGTAGGAAAAGCCCTGAAACGTGGTGTGATCAAAGTTCCCCACTGAGCTTGCAACATCAGCAGCTCATGCAGTTGCCCCGATCTTCAAGTTTCCCTCCCTGTGAAATGGGGACCATGATATCTAACTCCATCTAGCAATCCATGAAATCTCCTAGTACAGGATTTGGCATGAGGTAGGGACTCCATGAATATTTCCTTGTTGCTCTCTACAGTTGCCATTTCCACTCTCAGCAGACTGATAATAAAAGGCATGCTGTTTTGAAGACCCTTCCTGGAGAGACCTGCTGAATTGCCAGTTTTCACTGGGGGTTCTTCCTCAATCAGGCCTCTCTATTATCAATAATATCCTTCTCATCCTTCTTCCTGTCCAAAAGAGGACGTCTAAGAAATTATAGCAAACCCTTGATGATTCAGGAATGAAATCCTCCTCTTTGGATGGTAATGTACCTGCTTCTGATCACCTTCACTAGAGTCATTAGTTGCAATGATGTTTCTGGCTAGATTTAGGCCAATTTGTTTTCCTCCTTTATTTACATTTTTAACGTGTTCTTTTTGATTTATATTAACATCCTGCCTTACTATTAAGCCTTTTCTGCTCGCACTGACAGGATCTATTTTAAGAGCATGAGGAGTTACAATACCCAGTTTTTCTTACCTGGTGTCTGTGGGGTCACACATTCAATTTATTTGTAAAAAATTATCCAACAGCTACTTCATGCCAGACCCTGTAGCAGGCTGTGTGAGAGGGACCTAAAGATGACCAAGTCCTGCAGGAGGAAATGGACATGCATATGACCAACAGTGATACGGTATGATAGATGTTGTTATGACAGCTATGAAGAAGGTACTATGGAGTCATTCAGTCATTCAGGAGTCATTCAGTCTATTTCAGTGGAATCTGTTTCAGAGAAGAGGTAATTGTCAAATAAAAATTATAAAGTGAGTAAGGTTTTAACAAATGAAGAGGATTTTAAGTGAGGGAATATGATAGGGGAAAAAGCAGTCCCCTTGATTCCGATTCACCAAAATGAGGATATTTGAAGGTAAATCATGGTCTTTGCCCCAAGAACTGTTGCTTGAAGAGAGGTTACACCACAAGTGGATAGTGGCTTGGGCCCACCTCTGAAACAGTAGTTGTAGTGACCTGATAGGTCTCACAGGAAAGCAGTAAGGATTAAAATACACCAAAACTTAATTCTCATAAAGAAAGGTATATATTTACATGATAAATAGGACAAATAATTTAAATATCAATATCAAATAAAGCTTAAGCGGTATTGAATATTACAATTTTCACACCACTCCCTTCATTATGATGATACCTGTTAACATAGATCACCTATTCATCTACAAAGTTCTTTGGTTTAACTAAGTAACTACATTCTTACTTTGCCCACTTGTCTTTGTACCATCATGAGGAGGGCAGAACTCGGGGTGGAGCCAACTTGTCAGCATGCTGAATTAATTAAAAATAAAATTCTTAATTCTTACCTTAGCCAGATGATTTTTTTTTACTAAATGTTTCCTTTTGAAACCATTCTGCTGTCAGTCGCTTATTTTGGCAAAGTACCTCCTGATTTCTTGCATTGTGTTTGACATTTTTTAAATATTATTGTTTGTTCACGTTTTGTTCTTCTATAGCAGATGAAACCAATTAGCTCCATAAATTGCTTAAAAGTTCATATATAAATGTTTTCCAAAAGGTATATGCTTTTAGTTATATGAAGTCTAATTTATTTATCTTTCATTCTGTGTTGATGAATAAGTAGCTGTTTTCTGCTGCTTCTAATGGATTTAATTTGTTTTTAAAAATCTATCAGTATGAGTAATATCTACCATGTTACTAACAGTGGATTATTAAAAATAGAACAGTCTAATATTTTATAGTTAGTAAAATGCTTCCTTTAAAATGTTTTCTGGGGAGTAGAACCTTAAACTTTTCTTTTTGATGATATTGGAAATAAATGATTAAGGAGTAAAAGAATATACTGAAATCAGTCATTAAATATACAGTATGGAGATTTTTATACATTGTTTTAATAAAAATTATGTATTATTAGCACAGAACTTACTTAAGTTTTTCCCAGATAACTTCCTCCTTTAACTTCACAAGTTTTCTCTCGAATATCAAAATAGAATCTTTAATGGCACTGATAAGAATTTCAGAAGTATTCAAAATGGTATGTGTTGGTTCACAAACTTCTCAGGTTCTTCCCAGGTGTAATCTAAAACAGTGCCTGTACACAGAGCACAGCGAGACACCAAAGAAAGAGGCAGACCATGCAAGATTTGGTAGGTGACAGTTTTAATAAACAAGGGACCTTGCATATGAGATCTTCTTGGGTGGCTGTGAGAGTAGTAGATCTCCATTTTTGTCTAGTAAGCCTGAAAGTTTATGGAGAGACCTTCACTGGGTTCAGATATGTATATTGTTCACATGGTCTCAACACCAAATCAATGTCTTGAGGCTACGTCCTTGGGGTAGCTTCTGGGATCAGAAGCATTCCAGAAGGCAGATAGAACGCACATGCCAGCACAGGGGAGAGGGTAAGGAGCCTCCAGTTTCTGGGGTCCAGCTCACGGATCAACCAGCTGTCATATCCTCTCAATGACCTCCCCCAACACTGTGAGATCAGGAAGCCGTGTCCTAATGATTGATACCCATGATCCAGTAAAAGTTGAGGAGGAAAAAAGTTGCGGCAAAAATGCTAGGCCTTTCTAGAGGAACATAACTGAAGTTGGTTTTCTGGTAAACACTTGTCCTGCCATCCTAAAAGCATGTTGAAATTTTGCAACAATCCCAGCTAGGTCACCTGTTAACCAAAAGTCTTTGGTCAAAAAGAACATGCATTTTTTTGTCTCTCTTTCCCAAGCTGCTCTGTGACTGTTGTGAAATCTGTGGGAGGCTTCATTCCTATCCTAACATTTCCTCTTTGGCAGAGGACAGCCTCCCCCATGATTATGATGTGTCAATAATGTCCTTTTGTTCCAAAGGAGAATTTTTTAAACTTTCTAAAATACAACAGAACATACATTTTGATAATATAACATATCAGCTATGTGAGTTGTAAATCATAAGCCACAGTTCTTTTTGTTCTATAATGATCAATTATTACAAGTTTTACACCAAGATCAAAACAAAAAGAAAAACCATGAACTCTATCTTATAGATTTATAGATTATCCATCAAGCCTGACTGTGACTCTCTCAAGAATCTGTGGGCATAATGAGCATTGCTTAAATGTTGATGGATTGGATTTGAGCTTCTGCTCTTGAAATTAAAGTGCATCCATGCACATTGAAAATAGTAAGTCTGAGTACTGGTGCTAGATAGTATGAAACTTTAGTTGGGACTCCAGCTTATAGTACCATGTCACCAGTTTCTACGGGAAATACTAGCTTGTTTGATTTTATTTTTTACTCGTTTTTCAGCATCCCTGGGCAGTATAACCAAATAGCAAGATTTTAAAAGAGTTTTCATCTAAATCTTAGTAGGGCAAAAATATTCATGTAAGCATATAGTCCTTGCTGCTGTGTGGTCCCTGGAAAGGACTCTATGAACAATCACATAAAGTTTAACATTACATAGTATAATAGTCCTTGAAGTCTCTGATTTTTTTTCTCCTAACAAAAGGGAAAGGCAAATAGATCATGACTCTCATGAAAGAAGATTTCCTTCTGCATGTAAATATGTGGACTCTCAGCCAGGTAATCATCCAAGGACTTTTTTTTTTGTTTTTGGAGGACTTTGTATGTATAGAATACTAAATTAAGCTATAAATCAGCCCTATTTGAGGCTAAGTTTCTTCTTATTCACAAAAAAATGTACCAGCTCAATAGTATATCATGTTACATACTCTAAATCATTCCATGAATTTCAGGAAGCTCTGGGAAAATTGGAAAATCTTAGAACAGATCTGCTCACATCCTAAATAGCTACCTTAAAAGTACTGTTATGATGCAATGTGTAGTTATGACATTCGAAACATCTTATTTATATAAATGACATGAAAATATAGTAAACAATGAAGGAATTTCAGAGTCAAATGAAGTATCTGAAGCACTTGACCTAATAAGACTATTTCTTACTTTATTTTTGATTTTTAAAAAACCCACTGGGTAATTTCAAGGTTTCCTATTTGTATATTACTTCAGAAGGCTGACTCCATGGTGAAACTCACAATTACCCTCCCGAAGATGAATGAACAGGAATAGTTCTCTTGCCCATCTTCTCTTATCTGGGTCATCAGCCTTCTAAGAGCATTCTTTTTATCAGGGAAATGGGAGTGATATATGATGAAGATACATTGCTTACATAATGGAGAAAAAATGTTATTGTCACATATTTTCTCTGTCCCTTATCCTTCTCCCTTTATAGGGACACCAGTTAATACACATGAAACTCCTTGAAATTTGTTCTCTAGATCACTGACTCTCTGTCATCTGTTCATTCTTCCTTTTTTTTTTTTTTTTTGTCTTTCATTTTGGATAGTTCCTGTTCCTATATCTTCAACTTGACTAATGTTTTCTTTTCCAGTGTCTAATCTGGTATCAATCTCATCCAATATGTTTTCATTTTGAACATTGTAAATTTTCATTTTGTGCGTTTTTCTATCTTCTATTTGTGCATTTAACATGCTTCTTCACTCCTCTACCTTCTTAAACATATAGAATATACTTATAACCCATTCAGTGTCCTTTTTTATTCATTGTATCATCTGTGTAATGCCTGGACCCGTTTCCACTGATACATTTTTCTCCTCAATATGAGTTGCATTTTCCTGCTTCTTTGAAAGTCTGGGAGTTTTTTGTTGAATGCTAGATATTGTGAATTTTACTTTGGTGGCTGTTTTATATTTTGATATTAAAAAATATGTGAAGATTTGTTTTGGGTGATATGAAATGACTT